TGAAAAGAACCTGCAGGTAGATAGGACTGGGTTGAGCCATCCCATGGGATGGTAAGAGCTTCAGGAGGGGGTGGGACCGGCTTTCCAGGCACATTAGACCAATGGGTTGAGTGGGGTTGGTTACTCCACCTGCCCAGTGAACGTGGGAACTGGGTACATGGCTCTCAGTAGCAGTGATCACTGACAGAGGGACACCACCACCCCTGCCCCACTGTCATGGGGTCCCACACCAGTTGCTTTCTCTGCAAGCTATGTCTGGGCTAATGCTTCTTCTGACTGGTGCTCCAGGAGCACAGCATCACCTCGCTCCAACACGGACAATAGTGCTGGAGCAAGTGGTCCACATGAGGGGTTGGTGGCATTGGCACAAGGATCAATATCATCTTGGATGAGGGAGTCACAAAGGGCATAGCACAGGTCTCCATGGTGCCTGTGCACGAAGTCTTCTGACCATGCAGGGCTTGGGTTCATGGTGGGGGGCTGCGCAGTGTGGAGATGGCAGCTCTGGGATGAGCTGTGATGTCCCCCCAGCTCTCCTGTTGCAGCCTCCCAGCATCAGGGGTCAAGGGGCTGCATGATTCCCGTATTCTACCCACCATGTCCCCTGTGGAACAAAATGGGGAAGCTTTTATCCAGCCAAGCATTCCCGTGGCTGTCCATGCTTTCAGCATCTTTCCTTGAGCATCTCATTTGCATTTGGCATCTCCCAGCGCGTTTGATGGCTGCTCGCACCCTCTTGTGGAGATGCAGCAGAGCAGGGCTGTTCCCGCACCAGCGTCTTCCTCGTCCCCGTTGCCTGGGCACCTCCCTTCCTGCAGGCCCTCAGAGAATGGCGGCTGAGCCGCAGCAGCCCGGAGGTTCGCTCTGCTGGCACCGGCAGGGTGAGCCCCAGCAGGGGAGCAGCCCCAGCGGATGGTTGCCGGCTGGCTTGGGGCATGGGGGGAACATGCGGCTCACCCTGTCCACCCCTCGGTGTGTGTTTTGCAGGCCCAGACACAAGAGCTGGAGGAGTTAAATAAGGAGCTGAGGCAGTGTAATCTGCAGCAGTTTATTCAGCAGACGGGGGCCACGGTGACCGTCCTGCAGGCCAGGTCCGAGGAGGACGCCCAGCCGGAGCCGAGCCCGTGCGAGCTGCCAGCCTACCGGAGAAACGGAGGTCAGCACGCTGCCGCTGGCTCGGCCGCGGGGCTGCTCCGCGGGACCCCCGCCCGCTCCCTGCCCCCTCTCTGAGGGGTCAGCCCCAGCGCTGACCAGCTCTCCCCTGGGCACTGAGATTAGGCAGGTGGGGGTTTGTGTGCTGTCACACACCACTCCATCGGGTTTCAGAGATTTGTCACTCCTGGGGCTCCTTCCTCATCCTGGGAGCTGCTTGTAGACATGCATGGGAGTCTGATCCTGCATTGCTGCTTTTGGGGCTGAGGTGGCTGCAGGGAGCTTTCCTTTACAGCCTTGCTCATGTCAGCACAGTGGCTGCAGCAGAAGGCATGTGGCTGAAGGCCAGCATCAGTCCCCGGGGGCTGTGGGCTGGTGGGGACATCCTCTGGCCACAAATGACCTTTCTGTGTTTGGTGAGGGAAGGGTGGTGCCCAGGGCCTTGTCTGCATCCTCACAGCCATGAGAGGAGGCAGCGGGGGGGTTTATGGAAAGGAACCTGGTCATTTCTCCTCTGGAGCACCCGGAGCGGGTGACATGACTGCCCTGTGGCACTGCAGTGGCTGTGCCCAGCGAGCCTGGGAGGCTCGAGGCCTGCCTGAGCTGGATGTTTTTCCCTATCCTGTAGGTTTTTCTCCCACCACCGCTGGTACAGACTTGCCTCCCCAGGTCAGCACCAAGCAGCTCCTCAGCCATCCCAGGACCCTGCCGGAGCCCCTGGTGTCCAGCCTGAACCCCGAGGGTGCGTATGTCCCAGCGGGGCCCCGGGAGCGTGAGCCGCTCTGCAGAGGATGGGTGGGAAGAGGGGAGAGGCTTTTGCTGCCCAAAATGGGCTGCAGAGAGCAAGCGTGTGCTGTGGTGGGAGGCCAGAGCTATTTATAGATGCCATTAGGAAGCGCAAAGCTCACACTCCGGCAGTCTCTGCTGTGCTGCCAGGGGCTCACACACTGGCAGCCTGGCTCTCTGCCCTGCCAGGAGCTGTGGAGGATGGTTCTCATCCCCTCTCCTGCCACTCTGTATCCCCCAGGGTTAAGACCTTGCTCAGTTAGGATAAGGAAGACTTGTCTCCTAACTTTACAAGAGCTTCTTTTGTTCCATCTTAGTGACCAGTTCATGCCAAAACCTTTTCTACCCCCCTTGACTCTTTTGTCCCCTTGCACCTGTTTTTTGGGTGCAGCAAAAGAGACCTGTGGTGATGCTGCCTCCCCCTGGCATCCTACTCCCACCCATGCCATCTTCACCTCAGCAAAACCCTGCTGCCATCCTCCACACAGCCCAATACATCCACCCATCCTTCAGGACACTGCAGCAACCGCATTCCCATCTCCTGGTCCAGGCTTTGTGTTCACATACATCCTGTTTTCCACTCTCCTTTTTGCAAGTGCTCACCCACCATGGTGGGATTGATCAGGTGGTTTTTTTCTCTCTTGTCTTGCAGTTGTATCAACCAGGCAGAGCATCTGGAGGTAGAAGGGCCCAGGCAGTGGAAAATCAATTGCCTTCAAAGTGTAACTGTATAAATAAACCATATAATATATATATATATATATTTTATATTTTTTTTACTGCTTTATATTGTGAATGGATGTGGATGGCCAGACAGAATATTTTTACAGACTGTAAAGTAAAACTAGAGACTGATCTCACAAAGCAACCCGCCTCCCCTGAGGATGAAAACGACTCCCTTCTATTTTTTTTTAAGCAGTTTCTATCTTGAACAGAAAACAGCAGTGTACCCATTCTGCATAGCCTTCTCAAAAGATCCATCGTGCATTTGGAAAAGTCATTGTTCCTTTGACTAGGGGAGCGACACTGCAGTGGACACCCACGTGGAGGCTCACCTGGATGGAGCAAGTTAACAGATTTTACAGCAACTCATCACTGCAAGTGGGGCCATGACAAACAGCCTCGTCACTGGTGGCAGGGGAGGCCCAAAGCAGTTTTAAGACAAATTTCTGGCCTGTCTTTTTTTTTTGTGTATAAGAAACCTGTAGGAGAAACCACTTTCTATGGTGCCACAGACCATGCTTCAAGGAAGTACACAGCGGGAGTTGTTTTTCTTAAATTCATTTAATCTTTCAACTTCTTTTTAAAGTAAAAAATTGCAGAATGAGCCCTTCCCTGGTGGTAGTGTGAGTGGGGAACAGGACCAAAATACTCTTGGTGACATTTCCCTGATATTTTTAATTTTTTTAACTCGATGGCCAGTAGTTACCATTCTGTTCATCTGTCGCGGTGGGTCACCTTGTATTTTAATTGCAAAACCAAAGCGGTTTGGGGAGGGGAAGAGTTTGTCTGGGAGATCCCTGAGCCTGTTTTCAGCGTGTCGTGTGCGAAAAATGTGACTTGGGCACAGCGTTCCTGGTAAAACCCCGCTTCCCCCGTGCGAATGTAAATCCTGTGCGCCGCAGATCCAATTTTCAATAAATCTTTGGGAAAGGATTTGAGCAAAGCGAGTGTGAGTGTGCTGTTGTGGCCAGGCTGAGCCGTCCCTGCCGGCGCCTGACGGACACATCCAAGTGGTTTGCGCACCCCGCAGCTGCCTCTTCCATTTCCAAGCCATCTCTTTCTATTTGCTGAATTAAAGCTGTGAGTATTTTATAACCGACTGACTCTTGTGCACACAGAGCTCTTTTCTTCTTTTTTTTTTCCCTTTTTTTTTTTTTTAACCGTGAAGTGCTTTACAACCAGGGGATGCGGCTTGTCTCCAGTGAGATGCGGCCGTCTCTGGGATGAAACATGGCAACATTTTAATAATGCACAGCAGCAGCTCGGAGCGTTTTAGGACAGGAGGCAAAGGGGTGGCGCTCAACTGCAGACAGGAGCAGGTAAGGGGAAATTTTCCATTTGCCTCCAAGCCCCTTTGTCTGCACCTGGATAACAGCAGCCAGGAATGTCAGCTCTTGCTGTCCATCACCATCTCCCCTGAGCTTCTGCTGGGCTCTTGTTCCTGCAGACATCTTCCCCTCTCAAAGCTGATTTTCTAGGTGCCACCACAGCCCAGCAGGCTGATCAAGTAATATTAAAGGATTAAAGTTTGTTTTTTTGGGAGATCCACTGGTACTGCTGTGTCTTTGGTTATGACTGGAGAGCTGCCACAGTGGGGAGATGCAGTTTCAAAGCTGCCTTTTTTGAATTGGGGCTTTTTGGGTGGGTTGCTTTTCAAGCTTCTCCTCACCCTCCTCCTTAAATCATGTATCTCAAGGAAAATTAGTTAAAAATGTTTGTTCCATGCAGCTGCATTTGGTTTGTCCCTGCTTGTTTGCTTTTTGGGCTTCATGTCCTTTTTTTTTTTTTGGACTCTTGCTTTTAAAGATTCTCCCTTTCTAAGAAGTGGGTGATGGACATTGTAAAGAGCAATTCAGTGCTGCTTGGGAAGGGGAGGGAAAAGCAGGTTTGGAAAACCCACTTGCCTTGGACGTGGCCAGATTTCAGTGTGTCACGCGACATCCTTTGTGTATCCCAAAAAACTGACCTCTGCAGGTTTAAAACCAGATCTTTCATTTTTTGGGTTACATTTGTAGCCTTGCCTTCTGCAAAATAAACAGGAAGAGAAAAGAGTCATCACCTATGGTACTTCTGAATGGGGGGCAGAAAATTAATTTGAATATTTGGGGTTGTAGCCTTGCCTTCTGCAAAATAAACAGGAAGAGAAAAGAGTCATCACCTAGGGTACTTCTGAATGGGGGAAGAAAATTAATTTGAATGTTTGGGGATTTTTTTTCACCGCTGTTACGATTATATATTATTTATCAGTTTTGTAGGTTCAGTCATAATTCAGTCATAATCTTAACAGGCCAAACCAGCACCAGTCTTTCCTAGAAGGAGGTGTGGGAGGGTGTGGAAAATAAGGATTTAAAATATATATCACAGCAGATTTGGCCCTTCAGCTGCTGCCCCTTGGCTGGCATGCGGGATTTGGAACTGTTGCATGGGTGGGAGACAGAGTAAATCAATTGTGTCCCCCACTGATAACCAGGCATGGGACTAGTGAGAGGGCTGTGACCAGGGGTTAACTCTTTGCAGCTCTAGACTGGCTCTTTGCACATTTTCTTCATTTGGTGTCCTACCCACCATCACCCAGCTGCTGCCTAGGCCAGCAGCGTTTCACGAGGTAATAAACTGCTGTGATTACTGCGTCCCTGCTGTGGTGCACGTGGGGCAGAGGTGGTAATCAAACTCCTGTGTTACCTCGGGAGCTCCCCTCCGAGGGTGACCTATATTCCTGCGGCTCGGGGGGCCTGTGCCCGGGCGGGTCCCTGCCTGTTATTTAATGCAGCGAGGCTCAATACCCGCTCCCCCGCCTTCCCGCTTTTAGCTGCTCTAAAGTCTGTGTCAATAATACATTTCTGCCATTGAATATTTTATTGATGGTTTGACTTTTTTGCTGCTCGCAATTCCCATTTCAAGGCTGCGTGATTGTTCCTAATTAAAATTTTATGCCCTGGGACAAGCCTTCTTGCTACAGTGGAGATGATGCTGTCCTTTTCTAGGCCACTACAGAGTGGTAGGAAGAAATTACCATTACCCATTGTTATGAGATTAAAACAAAGCAAATAAATTATTTTTTTCCCTTAAAAAACAAACCAGCAGCCCTGCGTACGGCGCGTACTGGAGAGGGAACAACTGGCTTGCAGGCAAGGCAGGGATCCAAGCGTGCAGGGTGGCTCGAGGATGCTGTGCTGCCTGCGCAGGGACTCGTGTCCCCATGTCCCTCAGGCGCTGTGGGCAGCTTCTTCCTTCCCTGGAGTGGGCAGGAATGGACTTCAGAGCTTCTCTCTCCTCAGATGCTTCTCCTGGCTAGCTCTAGTGCCACCCAAAAGTCACAAAGTGAAGGATATACCTGTTTTTCACTGGTGAGCAGTCCTGCATTTTTGTTGGGTTTGTTTTTTGGTTTTTTTTTAATAAATCTGCAGGTTCTGCCAGCACAAGGCACCATTCAGAAGAGTATTTCAGCCACCTCCAGCCTCCCTGGCGCCCTTTTCCTGGCTGCACTACCTGATTTTTTTTTTAGTTTTTGGGGTTTTTTAATATTGTGTAAGAAAAATGGCCCCCAGCTCCTCACCCCTCTATCCTGGACAGTCAGCTCCTCACCATCCTCATCAAATGGTGGTCTGGGTGCCAGCACTGCCCCAGGCCAGTGCAGTTTCTTCAGGGCAACACTGCTGCAGACACTTGAACCATCCCCAAATTACAGTTACGTATTTGTACGAGTTCCTGGGTGTTTGGGTTTGGGGTTTTTTTTTCCCCCCTCAATTTCATCTAGAGTGCTAGAAGCATTTGTGCTGCCTCCCAGCCCCTGGATTTGGCAAGCAGCTTTTAAAGCACACACTTCAGCACCAGTTACATAAGGAAAGGTGTGAATGTCTGGAGGAGAAAATGCCTGTTGGTTTTGCTCCCCAAGTGGTGTACAGATGCTCTGCTGCTTGCTCCTGGCTGCACAGCTTCTCCCAGCATAGTTCACTGCAGATGAAGAAGAGCTGTTTGAACTGGCGTGTGTGTCCATGCAGGGAACATTGTCTGCTCTCCTAAGATGATTTTTCATTCTCCATCTCAGAGTGCAGACTGACTGCCTTCTACCTTGCCCTGGAAAAAAAAAAATCATAAAGCACTAGAGGAGGCTGGGAAATTTTCTTGTTTATGGATGAGCAAGTTTCTCTCCCAATGGAACCTCCTGCCAGCAGAATTTTCTTTTTTTTTAGGATGTATTATATAAGTCCCTGCTTGCATTTAACTAACTGACTTCCTCTTAAACAATTCATGTACTCCTTCTATTCCTCACAGAGCAGCTTGCTCCTTCGGTGGGGCTCACCTGACACTGGCACATGTTATGGACAGAAGACTTCTTAGTGTGGTGCTTGAACGGTAAGGCCTGTTCCCTTCCTTCCAAGAAGAGCTGAAACAAGAATAAAATCTTTGAAGAGCACAAGGAGTCCCTTCAGCTCAACAGACCTGAAATTCAACATCTTCCCCTCCTGTAAGGCACTCCCCTGCCTCTCACCAAAAATCTCACAAGTTTGGAGTGAAAGCACACAACTACTCCTCTAACCAAGCTAAGTACCATCTTAAAAATCTGTTTATTAGCTACTGAAAAACATGAAATCAAGGGGCATCACAGCCCTGGTTATTTTCTCATCACTCGGGAGCACCCTGGGCTAGGCCAGGACAGAAGGGCTGATGTTGGGCTTTCTGCTCGAGGGACAACCATGCCACACCCTTCTGCTCTCCTTTTCAAGCCACCTTCACTGGCCACAGAGGCAGAATAAGAGATGGGAGGAACCAGGCATGCAGTGCAATCAGACACATCACTGAGAAGGCACAGCTTTCCTCTTCACCTGGTCTGATGCCCTGGATTACAGTAATCAGCACTCAAACACTGGTTTTGCACATTTATTGAAGACTTCAGGTGACAGCACAGCAGGTTAGTTTTGAATCATGCCAGAAGAATGTTAAAAACAGGAATTGATCTGGATGCTCCCCCCACTTACTGGAGATACACAGTAAGTAAAAGGCAAAGCCAAATGAATTTCACTTCAACCCCTTCCTTTTGCTTACTGGAGCTGAACAGGATGGTTCCATCGGTAGCAGGAAGTCGGGAGCATCCACACCATGGTGCTGCTCATGGGAACTGGGACAGGCCTTGCCAGGCGACCTGCAGAGCTGCTCCTGCCAGCGGCATCTCCTGGGGTCAACTCCTCAGCCAGCACAGTCCCAAACGCAGGGCTGTTCACGCAAAGAGAAACAAAGCACCTTTATTGCAGACACAGGTTTGTTACGTGCATGGTTCCCTACGAAATGGGGTGACAGGGGGACTGTGGCCTTCAGTTTCAGCTCTCAGACACACTTGTACACTGATGGATTTTGCACCAGGTTTCTCTCCCTCCCTTTCTCTGTGTGGCTACACTGTGCTCCTGCCTGCTCGGGACCAGCAGTGGGAAGATGCTGTGGGTGCAGTTAGGGAAGAAAAAAGCAATTCAGGGCTGAGAAAGCTGCAAACTTGTCTGCCCCCCAAACCTGCCTCTGTTAAAAAAAAAAAAAAAGGCCCATTCAGCTTCTGAACAAACATGACAGCATCTTGGGTACCTCTGGTTGGTTTTCCCATCTTCCCAGGCTGTTTGAGCACTACGGAAACACAGAGCACAGAGGGAACTGAGTTGTCTTGTGAAGAGCAGATATTCCTCTGGGACCCAGAGGCAGAAATGATAAGAGCATGAAGGAGAGATAGGGACAGGCAAAACTTCTCAGAGAGACACTTTACCAACAGAGGACCTTGCTCTGCCTTCTGTGCAATTAACTACTGACTGACCAGAGCACTGGCAAATTCCTTCAGACCAAGCCTTTACAACAGCCCAGGGCTACACGAGAGCAGCCCCAGGAACAGGGGGAATACCTGAGCCCTTCCAGGGAACCTCAGCAGCTGTGGTGAATCCTAGCTGCTTATTAGGAACTTCTGCTGACAATGAAGCTGTGCTGCTCTTCAGAAAATACACTCGACTACCAGGCTTCTTTACCAGCTGAAAAATCACAAGAGACAACTTTGTAGGAGAAGCCATCTGCTTCGTCACTTCCTCCGTTTTTAGTGACAGCCACCGTGGGTGGCTGGAAAAGTCCCTGCCTGGCTCGCCTTCCTGTTCCTCGGGGCCATGAAGTCAGAGTCCCCAGCGTGACATCACAGCACACTGGGCAAGGCAGCTCTGCAAATGCCCAGCCAGGGCCGGGATGCCAACAGAGCCCTGGCACAAGACGAAGTAAACAACAAGCAAAGGTGAGGGGTGGGATGGAAAAAAAACATCAGCAAAAAAGGAAAGTGAGCCTCATTTCTGCTTTTCCTTTAACAGACTAGAGAGTCTCCCTTTAAATGTGACTCATCCAGGGCAATACTAGGCAGAGTTTCTTCTGTTAACACACCCTTGGCAATAGCAGTTCAGTTAGTCACTGACCGGCTCTCAAGACGTCACCGGCCGGGACGATGCGTCTCTAACTTGGTACGGAGTCCGCTAGCACTTACTTTGGAGAAGAGCAAGAGAACGGAGGGGGACACGCCATCCCTCCTGAACAACTTTACCACCAACTATCCGCATCCACACGCCGTGGCGGCCCGTTCCCTCCATCCCCGCTCCCGCCGGGCACACCGACCCCGCCGCAGCTTCGGGGCTCCGCAGGGCCGAGCGTGGGCAGCCGCTGGAGGCAGGACAGTGGCGGCGGGGGGGCAGCCGGGTCCCTGGCACGCCCGAGCCCCTCACCTGGCTGGCCGAGAGGGCAGGAGCGCGTCGAGGCTTCGAGGCGCGGGTCCGGGCAGGCGAGGCGGCCGCACAGTGATGTCCGAGGAGCAGGTTAGCCGCTGTCACACGCACAGTGGAGTCGCCGAGAGCACAATGTGCGTTAGTCAGTGGCTCACCTGCTCCTGGAGGGTGACGGGGGGGCGGCGGGGCCCGCCTGCAGCATGGGCGACACCGGGCAGCGCGAAGGATGGGGCGCGGGAGGGGGGAGCCGCGCCGTGCCCGGGCTCCGCGGCGCGTGGAGCTGCAGCCCCGCGCTCCCAGCCCCGGGACGGGGCCCCCGTGCCCTGCCGCTGCCGCCCGCGAGGAGCCCCTTCCCCACTGGACCCCCGCGGCCCCGCCACTCGTCTCCCCCTTTCCCCTCCGGCCCCCTTCCGCCCCCGCCGGAGCCCGGCCCATGGTACGGCCCGGCAGGGCCGTGCCATCAGGGCAGTGTCGGGGCGCACGTAGGCGGCGCGGGAGGGACGGGGCCGGGGCGGGGGGAGAGCCGGGATGTCCCCGGCCGCCCCCGCCACTGCCGCCTCTCTCTCGCTGCATCAAATGTCACGGTGTCACTTTAATTTTTTGTATGTTTTCCCCGCTCTGCTGTTGTGTTGGGTTGGGCGCGTGGCGAACCCGAGTGCCCCTCGCAGTGCCAGGGGCGGAGGGGGTCCCTCGGCCCCGGGAGTCCGCTTCCAGCAACTTCCCCAAAAAAGGGACGTGCACTGGGAGGTTTTCTGTACATCCTCAGTGTAACCGTGCTCGTCTCATGGGGTGAGCTCGCTCCCGCCCATCACTCTACAAGCCGCAGCCAAGCAAACAGCTGGAATGCTGAAAATTTTAGCGCACCTCGAGGAGGATTTGCCAAGCACCAAAGACAGCGCTTTATGGATGGGCGCGGCGACGTCCCATAGTGGGAAAAGTCTTGTTTGGAGACTCGGAGAGCCAGGCGTCGAGCCCGCAGGCTGGCTCCCATCGGCCCGAAGTCACACTCCCGCCCTCCTCGAACAGATCGGAAACCAGAGCGCGCCCGGGGGAGCGGGCACGAGTGTGGTGACCCCCCGGTTCATTCAGACTGCTGCTGGGCAAGAAAAAACACTTCGGGTGCGGATGTGGCCCTGAGCAAACAGCAGCCCCATGCCTCATCCCTGGTGAACTGACAGTGCGTGCTGTCGGGCAAAAGGCTCGAGCTCTGCATCCCTTCTGAAAATTCCCTCGGCATCAGCTGTCCCGGCTCCGATGGGTATTTTGTAATCTGGAGCAAGATCTGGAAGCCAAACCCAGCGCGGGCTCCCTGACAGCCGGTGGCAATTCCACATCGAAAGGATTTCCTTCCATGTTCTGCTGGAGCGCTTTAACACTCATCGGTGGCTCTGCTCTCCCGCTGCCGGTGTGGAGGGGGGATGGGGGGACAGCCCCTCTTCTGCGTGACAGCCCGCACAATGACAGGCTGGCTCTGTTGTCATTTTGTGTGCATGCTGTGTGGGGGTTTTTTGTTTTCACCCAGCAGCCCTAGGGGAAAAGTCACGTATTTTACATCTTCCCCAGCACAAGGCTGGTGCCTGGATTGGAGAGAAATCATCTGCGGAGCACACCGACCCCTCCACCCTCCAGGCGTGAGCCGACACAAAAGAAGGCACAGCCATGGAAAATACTCTTTTTTATAAAATAGGTATTTCTGTGGGAAGTAACATGGCTGGGTACTGCCCTGACAGCTCCCAGCAGCACTGCTGCTTCTGCCAGCTGCTCTACGGGACACACGTGCCATTGGCTCCTGTGCTCCAAGTCTCTCTTCTTCTAGGCAGTACTACACATTCCAGGTTTTACTTTAAAGAAAAAAAAATCCTTCAATCCTTCTCCTGACTGTAAGCACACAGGGACTGAGTGTGTTTTGCAGCGGTGCAGCACAGCTGGCTGCCAAGCTCTGGATGTTGCTCGGGCCTCCCTGCCCGCGGTGTGAAACCACGCAGCACGGAGCAGGGCGGGATGCGCTGCTGCGGGGCAAAGCGAGGGGCAAAGCGAGGGGCCAAGCGCTCTCCTGCGGCCCGAGCCAAGGGCACACCGAGCCCTCGCTCTGGAGGTGCCACCAGAGTGTTTAAAGGAGCGGCGAGGCCGCCCGGCTCACGGGATGGTTGCTATTGGCAAGGCCCCGGGCCCAAGGGCTGCGCAACAGCCCCGCTCGGTTTGCCTCAGCCCCGCTCCCCTCCAGCTCCAAACAAGTTGGTGGCTCAGCCCTTAATCTCTGGGATGAAATGTCCTGCTGACACGGCCGGTGCTGTCCCGCGCAGAGCTCCCGCTTATCCCAGCCCTGCAGCTCTTCCCTTTGTTCCCGGCTGGCCTCCAGTGCCCGCGGCGGTGCCAGAGCCGCGATGTGTGCAGCGACAGGGAAGCGCATTCGCGGATGGCGGGAGCGTCACGGGCTGGCCCGGGGACTCGGGGAGGAATCCAAACGGGGGAACATGCCCCCAGTCTCATCCCTGGAGGCTGGCAAGCCCCGCGGGAGCTAAGGCGCAAGTGAGAAGTTGCCTCTCTGCAGCGCAGATCTTGCCAGCAAGATTCCAACACGAGGCAGTGCGTGCCCACCGGCTGGGGCACCGCCAGGGCTTTCACCCCTCTGTCAGGCCTCGAGCAGGCAGGCAGCAGCGAGGCTGGCGCGGGTTTGTCCCGCTCTGTGTTCTCTGGAAAAGGAGCCTGTTCTCTCCCCGGTACCCGTCTGGTTGCTGACAATGCCCCGAGTGTCTGCGAGGACACGCACGTCGGCGCTGGGTCACGTCCGCGGGCAAGCGGAGCCCGGGCTGCGCTCCCCTGGCCGGCGGACAGCCGAGCGCAGCCCGGGCCGAGCCGCACGGAACAGCGCGAAACCAGCCCCGGCTGCTCTACGTGCGTGCGCTCACCCAGCGCCGCGGGAACATTGGGGTCGGGCCCAGCCGACAGAAGTTACAGGGGAAAAAACCTCAGCGGCCTGCCAGGGGTATCCAGCACTGATCCGTGTGCGCACGGACCGCACCGCGCTCCGCGAGGATGCTCCCAGCCCCGAGCGGAGCGGAACGGAGCTGCACGGGGGCCGTTGCGCCCCGCTTTCCCCCCACAGAGCCTGGAGGCACCGGCGGAGGGATGCGGCCAGCCCCGCCAGCCCCGTTTCCATGGAGCGGCCGCAGCGGGACCGGCGCTGCGCGGGGACCGAGCGGCGCGGCCCCGCAGTGGTACGGCCCGCGCGCCCCCTCCGCAATGGTTTATCCCCGCCCCGTCACCCGAATGGTTCGGCCCGCCCCCCCGCCGCAGGCGCGGTGGTTCCGGCCGCTGCCGCCCCGTGACCCGCCAGTGTTTCCTCAGCGCTTCCGGGCCGCGGGCTCGGGCTGCGGGCGGCGGGCGGCTGCGGAGCGCCATGTGAGCGCGGCTGCGCCCCGGTGAGTGCCCGGCGGGCGGGGCCTGCGCGGGGGTGTGGGCGCCGGGCCCCGGGGGTTGGCGGAGCGGCCGACCCCCGCCCCGGCGGGAGCTGCCCCGGTCGCTCTTGGGTGTCGCCGCCGTAAGCAGCAGCCACGGCAGCCTGCTTATTGCGTTGTTCTCCGGCGGGACACGCCTCCGCGGGAGGGCAGCCCCGGTCGGGCTGGCCCCGGTGCTCCCGCATTCCCACGGGAGCGTCCCGCGGGATGCAGAGGGGCCGAAAGGCTCGGGAGCAGCAAGGCTTGGGAGCCGTGCGGCAAACACCTCCATAAACGTACCGAGGGCATGTGCCGGGGTAGCAGGGGTGCCACACAAACCTGCCCGCGCCTCTCCCTTTCCCCGTCCCTTCTCCCTCTTCAGCCGCTCCCAGCGCTTGTGCACACACGGGTGTTGCAGAAGTTATCCGCTGTTTCAGCCAGCTCGGTGACGAGTACAAACAGGGCCTGCCTGCAGGCTTTCTCTTTTATTATTTAATCGTGTGTTAGCTTATCGCAAGGCCACGTTTGGTGCCTTGCGGGACCTGTGCTTACGGGAGGTTCTGAGTTGTGTCGCTGGTGCTTTCCCTGGCCGGGCCACGTTTGGTGACAGTGGCTGGGTGGGATTTCTGTAGGGTCATTTGCTGGTTTTCCCGCAGGTTGTTCCCACCTAGTGTGCTGCTGGTGTGTTTCAGGGGTGTCTGTGGTGTTATTTCCTTTCCTGTAGGTCGGTGGGTCTTTCTCCGTAGGGCTGTGCCCAGAATATAAAAAGTGTGTGAGTATTTTGTTTGGGTTTTCTTGTTTGTTTGGGTTTGCTGGTTTTTGTTGCGGTTTTTTTCTTTTCCCACAGTCATTCCCATAAACAGCAGGGGAAGCTGTAGCTAAGGATGGGACTGGTGAAAGACTGGTGCTGAAAGGGAGCTCGCCAGTGAGGGTGACTCTTCCTAAGAAAAGAAGCCTGTTGAGAAAGAGGAGGATGTGCAGAGTTGGGGAATAGTTAATGCACAGCTGGAAGCAGAGCCAGTGGCTGCAAGGAATTGGAGGCTGGGAATTCCATAAAGCTTGGCTGCTGCTTTGGATACAGAGGTGCAAAATGCTTAGCTGCTCCTCTGGGTAAGATGCTGTACTTTCAAAATGCTTTTGCAAAACCCGTGCGTTGCTTTGTTTGCATTACAAACTCCCCGAGGAGTGCAGTGTCAGCTCTTGGGGAAGCTTTGGTGGACAGTTTTCATCCTGGAATTCAGGGTGGCTAAATTTAGGGCAGGGCTAGGATGGGTGGCAGATAAGCACTTCCTTACCCACCTCAGGATTAATTTTCTGTGATTTACCTATTGGGTTCTTAGGTGCTGCCACTTAAATTATTGCATAGGCAGTTCTGATTAGTGGTATTTAAGAATTAATTTTTTTTTTTTTTTGTAATTTAAACAAGGATCTAAATTTAGATTTAGGGAACTTTTTTAAAGCTCCCTCTGCATGCTAGATTGGCAGTGCATAACTCTGGGCTGCAGGAGTGTCTTGTTAATCTGAATTATTTCCCTGCCAAGTAGTCTTAATTTACCTTTGGAATGTGGTGATGGCAGATAGTAGTCACACCATAACCAGATTTTTTGCAGCTGTGTGCAACAATGATTTTGACAGCTCTTACTTTCTTTTCATTGAATGTAGCATATGAAATTGAAAACAAAGTTAAACGATTTCTGATGTGTGACATTACTTTTCCGGAGAGAACTAAATTATTTAGTTGATTGGGCAGAAAAAAAACAAAACCAAGAAAAAACACAACCAAAACTCCTCCCCCCAACAAACCAATAGAGCAGATGTGCCAATGAGAACTGAAAGCCCATATGTTTGAAAATTTAGTTGGCTT